GGAGCCAGAGCCAGGTCTACACTGGAGGCAGTGCTGGGCACCAGGCCACACAGCTTAGGGGGCTGGCATGGAGCTGTTGCAGAGGTCCACCTAGGAAAGTGTCCTTGACGAGGCAGGCCTTCCCCAAGCCCCCGTGAGGGGCCGGTGGCCACACCCCAGCTGCACCACTGACCCTATGAACCCTGGGCTGCCTGTAACCCGACTGCTTGGAGGCTTGGCCTTTTTAGTCTGGGGAGTGGGGTGATGGATGGCACCTTTTGGGGCCATGGGAGCATCCTGCCCAGTACACGGTTAGTGCTGAATGTCATGACTCTCTCCATTGCCGTGGTCAGTGCCCAGGCCACCTGCATTCAAACTGCAAATCCCTTGCCTCGCCGTGTGACCTCAGGTAAGTGAATTTGGCCTCAGTTTCTCGTTTTGTGCTGCTGCCCTCTTGGGCCTCAGTTTCCCCCTCTGTACCTACATCTCAGTGTTGAGCTTTGTAGAACGAGGCAGGCCTGTCCCGTTCTCCATTCTGGTCTTGCTCTGAGAGCCCGGTGAAGGTGACACGGGTCGGGGGATCCCTGAAGCCTTCGGGCTGCCCCTCCTGGCTGCCATGTGCTCCTCTGCAGGGCAGGGAGGACTGTCACTAACGGTTTTTGGAATGAGCCTGGCATAAATAAGTTGTTTTCAAAGCCTCCATAGAAGGGGCCATGATGGGGCTATGTGGGCTCAGCCGTGAAGCTTCCCCTCCAGGGTGCACCCCGCCCTCCCTGGGGCTCAGAAGGCAGGGCTTTGGTTCTGCTTGGTCACTTACGTCCCATGCTGCCCCCCCCCCCCCCCCCCCGTCCTTACAAAAGCTGAGTGGCAGATGACAGTGAGCAGCAGCCTAGGCTTGTTGTCTGGCTGAGCCTGGGAGGCCTGTGGAGGGGGGGTGGGCATGGAGCCTGTGTCCTGGCGTTAATCTCATTTCAGCCTGGTTAGATCCAAGGGTGCTGGCGACTGGCCGGGAGAAACAGTAGATGTTTCCAGCATAGGCTGCTCCAGCCCCAGCTCCTCGAGGTGACTATGAGACTAGGAGGCAGAGCCCAGGGAAGTGGGGAGTAGGAAGGGGTGATTCACACCCCCTCCAAATGTCCTAAACACAGCGGACCTTGCTGCCTGTCACACCCAGGAGAGCCATTTGAGCCCTGGGTCCCTCAATACAGGGCCAGGTTTCTAGGGACAGACCCCCCAACCCCTGGGGTACTTGCTGGGCTGCCCAGAGAAGGGGCACTTGCCTCTGGATGCTGGGGAAGCAGTGACCACCCTGTGGAGGGCCCCCAGGCCTGGGTAGGCCAGTGAGAGAAGCATGTAGCCCGTGCCTCACACTGCAGGGACACAGCTGGTGGTCAAGCCTCACCTGGCCACAAGTGAGAGCTTGGGCGAGGACAGGGAGCTCCTAGCCTTATTCTGCCCACTGTCTGGGCCGCCTTCACCCACTGTCTCTCGACTTGTGTCGTGGATAAGCACCACGCGGTTAGTTCTGCTGCCTCGGTCCTGTGTCCTCCTCTCACCTCAAACCTTCGAAACTCTTGTTCTAGAATCTGAGCCTGTTCCTGCTGGGGGGAATGGAGAAGCTGTGACTGGCTAGGCCCTCCTGGCCCTGGGCCATGGGAGAAAAGATGGCTGCCCACTGCCTGCCTCCATGGAAAGGGAGCGGAGCCAGGAGCAGGGCATGAGCTTGCCCTTCTCTGCCAGGCAGTGCTCTTTACCCTGGGGCTTCAGTTTCCCTAAGTGTGCAGTAAGGGACAGAGGAAGGGCCATATAACTTGTCCTGGGCCACTTCCCAGAGTCAGGGATGCTGATAGTACACAGCGTGGCCGGGGAGTGGGAGCACACCTGAGCACAGATCCATCTCCATTGGCCTCCGTTCTGGAGCAGAGACGGGTTTGTTCCTCGCTCTTGCTGCTGTCTACTTTCATGTGGAAGTCCTTTGCATTGAGTCTCTTTGCCTCAGTTTCCCTTTGTGTGAAATGAGATGAATAATTTGTCCCTGTCTTGGCAGATCCTGAAGTCTGCATCTGCCTGTGCATCTGCCTGGGTGCTGGGGTGGCACCAAGCTGCACCCAGACACATCTCAGAGGTTAGGCTGGCCTGAGTGGCCGCGGGTGGGGGTGGGGTGGGGGTAGGCCGCAGAGGCTGGGCCCCTGGGCAAGGGACGCTGGACTGTTCTGAACCCTAAAGGAGGCCTGGCCTCTCTGGCTGTGATTATGGTGAGGACCTGTATAATTAACTAAAATGGGAGACTGAGGAGGAGTTACAATAAATGCTTAGTGGAAATTAGAGACAAGCCTTGTGCAAAAAATAGTTGAGCCAGGCGGGGAGCCTCAGCGTGTACTGCAGGATAGGGCAGCAGGAGGGGCCTGGCGGTCCGGGTGCAGCTCTCCCCTCCCCCTGGTTCTCAGACTAGGTTGTGTGTCGTGTCCTGTGGCTGCCTAACAAGTGCCCAGACTTGGTGGCTTCCAGTAGCCGAAGCTTACTGTGTCAGTCAGTGGTAGAAGCCAGAAGTCCAAGGGCAGAGAGTTGGCTGTGTTGGCTTTCTCCTGGGGGCTCTGAGGGAGAATCTGCTCCAGGCCTCTCCCTACGTCTTTCTGGTGACTGCTGGCCATCTTGGTCTTCCTGGCCCATAGCTGGGTCACTCCAGCTCTGCCAGCATTGTCACATGTCCTCCTTGTGGTTCACTCTCTTCATATCTCTCTTTTTAAATCTTTTTATTGTGATAGTATATATAGGTATATATGTATACACACATGTATAAAACAGAATTTCCATCTTAACCTTTCCTTTTTCAGTGTTTGTTTAGAGACAAGGTTTCCATATGTAGTCCAGTCTGGCCTCAAACTCTCAATCCTTCTGCCTCCACCTCCCGAGTGGTGGGATTACAGGAGTGAGCCACCACACCCAGCTCCATTCTCACCATTTCTCAGTGCACAGTTCAGTGTTTAAGCACATTCACGGTGTTGTGTGCCCTGGATCACATCTACCTCCAGAATGGTTTCATCTCTCCAAGCTGACATGTCTTCTTCAGCACTAGCTCCCCACCCTTCCCCAGTCCCTGGCACTCACCCTCTACCTTCTGTGCCTGTGATCAGGACGTCTCTAGGAACCTCATGTGAGTGGAATCCTGTGTTACTTATCCTTTTGTGTCTGTGTTCTTCAGAATCATCAGGTCATGGGAGACAGATTAAGGGGAGTTTTAGGTTCGCCTTGTCTAAACAGCTTTATTAGCCACAGGTGACCTTTGAGCTTAAGTATTTAAAATAAAATTAAGTGGGGAATTCAGCTTTTCAGTTGGATTAGATACCTTTGAAGTGCTCAGTGGGCACTTGTCTACTGGGTGCCCTGTTGGACAGCACATACACAGGACATGACCGACATTCTAGATGGTTCTGTTGGAGATTACTGCTCTAGTTAATGGAGGCTGAAGAGCTGACAGCTAGAGTCGTGTGATCCTGGGTTGGACCTGTGCCACATCTCTTTTCATTTTCTATAAAGGACATTCTGGTTGTGCTTAATCTATACAGAGTGGTGACATGTAAGTCAGGTCTATAGCTAGGTAACCGTGGTGTCTGTAAGTTTCCTGATGGTGACAGTGTGCTGTGATCATGGAAGAGGAGATCCCCCTTGTAGGAGCTGCATGCTCAGGTGTTCAGGGATGGAGAAATACTGTATTTGCAGCAAATCTCAAATATTCAGAGGAAACTAAATATATATAAAACGTAGACACACGCACACACACCGTAGGTCGCTGGGCCTCTGCCTGCTGGGGAGAGACGGAAGTGTGTGTCTGGCCAGGGACAGCGCTCGCAGGGGCTGCTCGGTGCAGCTTGGTTTGGGCCCTGAGCGTGTGCTGAACCTTAAGCTCTAGGTTCTGATTCCCACCTATCCTATGCCTGAATGTCCACTTATCTAAATTTCTACTGAGCAGGGATGGCTCTCTGCAGTTCTCTGAAAACTGGGCATTTGTCCTTGGAAGGGGGTGGTTATTGACCATAACTGGTCTAAAGCCATGTGTGCTGGGGCCTTGCCTCATGGATGCTGTGCTAAACTGGGTTGGGGCTGATGGTTCCCCTGTACTAGTCTCTGTGTGCCATCAGTGCCCGAGACTGGCCAAGTGAGGCAGGTGCAGCAGGAGACCAGGCCTCAGAAGCACTAGCCCCTCCACCAGTCTCATACGTGTTACCATCAGCAGATAGGATTCAAACCCAGGTCCCAACACTCCCAAGCTTGCACTGAGGCCCCGTTAACTGCTGCCGCGTTAATTTCTTTGCGGTTCTTAGCAGGAGGACAACAGTGTCCTGTTCGCTTCCACCACACTAACCCCCTACCTTCTGCAGCAGATGCAAGTCAAACATCCCCAGTGGGGAGCTCAACTGTGGGGACAATGGGTAGAAAAGAGGTGACCAGATGTCAACTTGGAAGTTTTGGCCTATTTCTTCCACCGCCTCCTGCTGTGGCTGGCACATTCTGCTCTCTGGGTCCTCCATGGCTTCCTGTGGGATGGCTTGTGGCTATTGACTTTGTCAACTGTGAAGTAATTCGGGAAGTCTCTGCTGCCGGAAGCTGTGTGTGTGTGTGTGCATGCTTATGCATGTACCCACACATGTGTGTGACGTGCCCCAGCCATCCCTGACGACTCAAGGCTCCCAACAGGTGCTCGGATGTGCCTGGGAAGGGGCACGAACAAGCCAGGCACCTTCTGCATGGCTTGAATGGGGGACAGTGTGTTGTCCCAACATGGGGAGGCCATGCTGGGTTCTGCTGCTCCATGGTCTAGGCCAGGCTGTGGAGCCGGTGCCCACTGTGGTCCAGGCTACCTCCCTGGCCTTGGGTGTGGGATTCTTTCAACTGCATGCGTGGTTTCCTCCCTGCTGGAGCCGGATGTGCTGTCAGTGCTGGCACACCAAGGTAAAAGCTTGTGGTGGCTACTCTTATTTTCAGACACTCCCACCTCACTAATCACCTCCTTCTCTCTCTAGTTCCTGTGTTTGAAGAACATCCGCACCTTCCTGAAAGTCTGCCATGACAAATTTGGACTAAGGAACAGTGAGCTGTTCGACCCCTTTGACCTCTTCGATGTACGAGACTTCGGGAAGGTGAGTGGGTTCCTTGTGCCAGCTCCAGCAAGTGTGCTTGAAGATTGAGCGGTGGGCCTCAGGGGCACAAGGAGCCTGGCCTTCGAAGCCAGAGCCATGTGTCTTCCCTCATACATGTCCAGCAGATGCTGGCTGGACTGTGGCACCACTAGGAGGGTGCAGAAGCCAGGTTTGTGCATTGGGTGGGGCTTCGGGGAAACCTTTCCTCTCTTTATCAGGAGGATGGCAGGTGTTTGAAACCAGGTGGGTGGAGCAAGGTAGAGTGTGGGGGAGCACCCACCGATGCAGGGCAATTGAAAGCACAGCAGGCCATGGTTCCTCTGTTAAGTGAGTTCGGTCAGCACTGTAATGTCTTCTGGATGGACAGGGGGCTGAGAGCTGAAGCACTGTCTTGTACCCAGGTGGTCCCATGTCCCCGCTGCTGTTGGCTCGGGCTCTGCAAGACCCCCACTTCCCAGACCAACACAGTGACTCTCCACCTGCTGATGGGAAGCGGCAGATATTCATTGCCTGATTTACCCAGGGACCGGGAGCAGGGACAAGGTGTGTGAGTTGTGCGTTACAAGCTGCAGGGGGATTTCGTGTGTGCCAGTGCTGAGAAGTCAGGTCCAAGAGCGGCCCTTCTGCAAGGTGCTGTGAAGTGTCGGCTTAGCAGCCATGACTAGGACCAGAGCCACCTGGGCCGGACAGATCTCCTCCTCAGTCCTGGGATTTTCTCTTCAAGACCCCATCTCTGCGTTAGCCCAGCTCCTGGAAGCTTCTGAGCAATCCTACATGATGCATGGAGGTCCCTGTGTCACTGGGCAGGGATTGAGTTCCATGCAGCAGAGGGTCTCCTCTGTCAGCCAGGGCTGGAGCTGCAGGAGCTTGGTTAGTGCTAGGCTGGAGTCCTGTCCTGTAAGTGGCTCTCAGTTCCGCAGATCTGTTTAAAATGGTTTGGAATGTCTTCCTGGTCTTGTCGCTGTGAATAGCTGAGAAGGGCCCTGGGCAGGGGAAGCCAATGACCTGGACTCTGGAGGAGGCTGGAATGTACACACACACTTGTGTACACGCAGCTGTCACGTGTTCCACACACATTCACACGCACTTGCACACACACACTCATTCACACCACATATTCGTGCGTAAACACAACCACTGATCACACAGATTCACAGACATCCACCCCTCCCCACCCAAATGCACATAGCCAGGCACTCACACTTACATCCCCACCTCCATGGCCATACCACATGTCACACTTGCTCACACACACACTCAGACACACACACTCACTTGCAACTGACACCAGAAATAATTGCAGAGAGAAAAAGACAGGAAAGTCCTGGCCAAGCACAGGACTAGCAGTTAAAATCCAAGTTCAGCATATAATTTCATTTTGCTTTCAATTTGCTACAGTGGAATGCAGTGATGTAAGACATACATAAATCTGGATTAGGCTTCCATCATGATTGGCCAACTGTGTGGCCAGCAGTTTGTGAAGGGACGCCCTTGTCACCGTCAGCAGTTTGCAGGAGGCGGCTTTGGCCAAGTAGTGGAGGGGTTGGGCCAGGGACTTCTCCCTCTGGTCTCTGGTTTTCTGGCCACCACTTCTGGCCTCTGGCCCACCACCAGATGATCAGTGGTGGCCCTCTGCCACACCCCCACAGCTGCTTGTGGGAAACTGAGAGTGGACAGTGGAGTTGGACCTTGAGTTACAGTTTGGACTCTGGGACTAGTGGTGACAATATCACTCTTCTCCTCAGGCTGGGTTGAGGGGACCTGGGGTCCCACCTTGTGCTCTGCTTTGAGAACCAGGGGTCCAGAGACGGGCAGAGCTGGAGAGAGCTGGCATGGCTGTTCATGGCTGCCTTTCACCTGCTGCCGCCGCCTTTTCTGTTCAGTCCTGAGGTCAGAGTGGCTTTGTGAATTGAGCTTCACTGCATCCCTGCTGGGTGACTTGGGTCACTGACATAGTGCCTCCTCCACAGTGTGTGTGACCCTGAGAGGTGGAGGGGGCCAAGGAGATGGACATGCAGGAAATCCCTGGTAGGGGCCTGGCCATTGTGGGTGTTCTTCGGGTGGGGGTGGCTGCCAAAGTCTGCACTTGTGTTGGTGGGAACCAACCCAGCCTGTTGCAGGGAGGTGGTGGTCTTCTCCCTGCTGTGTTTTCCTCCATTATGTTCTTTGTAAAGATGGATCACCCACCCCACTGGAGGATCAAACCCGGGAGTTGAGCGGTGGACCCTGATCTCCAGCAGGCTAGTGTGAGTCCTCATGCTGTCCTTATCAGGCTGTGGCTTAATCCAATGACTCAGTTTCTCCATATGCCATTTGAAAATGGCAGTGATAACACCACCCCCGAAGATCTGATGAACATAGTGAATCATGTTTGTGGCTCTCTTACTGCCCGCCTGGGGCAGGTGGCTGTGATCCTGGGGCTCTGCTTCTCCCTGGCTCCACACCTGAGCTGGCCCTGTGTCCTTGTTTTGGCCATATGTGTGTATTGGAGAGTGATTGGGGTGCTGGGTGCTGGTGCCCTGCAGGCAGCGGAGCTGATCTGCTCCTGCCCACCGTGGTAGCCAGCCTGGTGCTAGGCCAGCTCCTCTGGTTTCCTGTGTCCATCTGGTGAAGTTTTCTGCTATGGCCTTCCTCCTCACCCAGCAGTGACGATGAGGCTGGAGCTTGTTCTGGGAGGGTGAGACGGAAAGGCCTGGGATCAGCTGGCCCTGGCTGCTGAGGGGACGAGGCCCTGGATCGGGTGACGTTCCTTTCTACCTCTCCTTGCCTGATGTGTCTCACTTCCATTTGTTGCATTCAGGGCTCAGAGTACACTTACAGAGTAGCTTGGCTGTCAGTCTCAGGTTGCTTTATAAAACGCGGTGTCTTCCTTGTTACTCAGGAACATTTGTAATGTTTCATGCCTTGTTCAGGCTCCGTTGTTCATTTTCTAAGCAGCTGCCTCTCAGTTTCCCAAGTCTCTCATGTGGTTGAAGTTTTTCTTAAGAATACAAAAGACATTCATTCATTCATTCACTCACCCTTCCTTCCTTCCTTCTTTCCATCCTTCCTTCCTTCCTTCCTTCTTCCCCCTCTCCGTCCTTTCCTTCCTTCCTTCCATCCATCTGTCCATTCCTCCCTCTTTCCATCTACCCATCTATTCACCCTTCTCCATTCATTCATCATCTCTTTACTGGCTAAGCATTTATCGAGAGCTGGGAGGACTCGCCTGGTCTTTGCCCTCAGCAGGACACTCAGATTAACCGCTGTGTAATTAGTGGTGGAAGAGATGAAAAGAGGCCATGAAGACTTCAGAGCCTTTGCCCAGGGTTGGCTGCCCCAGCCTCATTCAGCCCAGACCGAGGAGTCTTCCGTGTGATTTCATTGTAGAAAGGGTCATGCCCTTGTAAAAGCATGGCACAGCAGCCACCCCACATGTCACAGGGAGGATAAAGTGGACAAGACACTCCCTGTCAGAAGTGGGGCTGGTGTGGCCGTGTTTTCCTGTTCCTAGACCAAGTTGGCCCTTATGAGCTATGCTGGGTGGTCCCACTCGTTGGCCCTCCGGCTTTCTCTTCACCTTCCTGTTAAGACTGAGAGCTTCCTTAATCCAGGAGGAACCCAGGGAGGGGCCCCTGTGCTCTTTGGCCATGTTCTCTCTGATCTCTAGCCCAGGGCACCTGGAGAGACCCCTGGATCCTTGGGAAGTCTTCCTGGCTCTCCCCTGCACCTGCCTTCCAGCGGGTGGTGACGGGCCAAAGAGAGCTGGGCTTCCGAATCTGCAAGACCTTGGTTGCCTGAGCCTTTGTTTCCATGGGAACAAAAGGAAGATCATGGCTGTCCTGTTATGGCATTGCTTTAAAGACTTAGTGAGGAAATGACCCCACAGGGTCTTGTCATTTTTATTAGTATTTTCTTTCTCCTTTTGGTCGCCTGCCCTGCAAGCTCCAGAAGGAACTGAGGGATCCAGAAAGTTGGTTTCAGAAGTGTTTCTCTTTTGGCTGCCTTCCCTGGTATTTTTCCGAAGGATTGCATTCAAGATATTAGGTTTCTGCTCAGATAAGTCCTGTCCGGGAAGCTTCCTGTGCTGCTGGGGTGGAGTGGGCCGGCTGTGGCCGCCTGGCCTGGCAGTGAGGCCAGGCTTTGCTGATGAAATCAAGTTGGTCCACCCCCTCCCTCCCTTTCTCATTCGCCTCGTGGCCTGCTTCTGGGCCGTTGGTTGGTCCAATTGCGTGGTCCCAAAGGTGGGAAGGAGTGCTGGCGGCTTCACGGGTGGCCACCGTGGCTGGTTCTTCCCGGGCGTGGCTTGCCCTGGCTGGGATCCCATTGGAAGTTTAGAGGAAGGATTCTGGTGAGGATTTTGCAGGGCTTCTGCCACTTTCAATCCTGGGACAGTGCAGATAATCAGGGGAGTCCAGGCACCACCTCCTCGATGTGGTTGTTTCACTCAGTCCTCTCCAAGTGCCATGATGTCACGTCTCATTTCCCCCATCTTACAGAACAGGAAGTTGAGGCTTGTAGAGGGCAAGCAACTTCTTGCTAGGGGACACATGGGCAGGAATCTCTTGGTTCTCCAAACCCTCTGTCCTGCCCTCTCTTCCAGGCAGTGTCAGAGCCTAAGGAGGTAGGGAGTCCCCATGGGCTTTGCCAACACAGCAAGCACCTGGCCATGGTATCGTCATCGGGTCAAATCAGCCTCCATCACCACCTGCTGGGCCGTGCCATTCCCTGGGCTGCATTTCGTCGTCTGTGCAGTGAAGACAGCTGTACCAGCTTCCTCTCTGGAGGGGGCAGTGGCTGTGTTATGGAGAACTCAGGAGCAGGGAGCAGCAGGATGGAGACTTGTCACAGTGTTCATTTTTGCCTATCATGGGAGCTTGCTTGCTGCACTGAGTCAGGGCGGAAGGCTCTCATGTGGCGAGGGTGTCCTTTTCTGCAGAGGAAGGGGGCAGAGGGAGAGAGAGAGAAGGGATGAATTCTCCTAAGCAGCCTACAGTCTGCAGGAGGGAAGCTAGGACGCA